GTATCCACGACACGAACTTGCCAACCCGCATCTGCAATATTGCTGCCTGGTGCCGTGCCCATAAGCGTAGGACCAAAGACGATAGCCAAGTTCTGGGAGTTCATGCGGTTTACAGCACTATTCTCCATCACTCTGTGCAAGTGCAACGTCAGGGCACGCAATGTGGCGTAGTTGGTATCTGGAAGGCCGTTAATAATAGCATGCAAACTATCTCTTCGCACAATCTCATCGTCATGCTTTGCCGCATCTATGAATGCCGAGTAGTTCTCCGACGTGAGAATGGGATCTGGGAGATCGCGGAGAAACTGCTTCAGCAGACCGGCAACACTATTGACGTCGTGGAAAAAGTTCTCTGGGTTGCGGAAATCCAAGATATGAGAGTCTCGACCTGAAGCTAGAGTCAGTTAGATACCAAATAGAAAGGAAATGAGGAGGGGGAACAAACCGGTATCGAATAGATTTTTCAGCTTGCTCACATGCATCGACGAGCCCGACAAACGATAAATACCTTCAACAGCAAGACCATATAGGTCAACTGCCTGTATACACTGGTGCACAACCATAGGAACGGCGAACTGATCACGCTCGTATAGCCGCGCAAGGGAGACGCCGAAGACTTGCTTTCCACTAGCAGTGGAGCTGGGGAACGGTTTTGAGGGTGATGCTGGGCGTGCCGACAACTCCTGCTGTAAGGCCGGAGGGGCAGGAGGCGTTGCAAAAGCACTGGGTCCCCCCTGCTGAGGAGACTGCGTCCTTGATTGCTGAGTTTGGAAGGGCAGTGCGCCCAGCTGTGGTGGACCTCCTTGATTACTCAGGGGGCTATTAATCTCGCCGTTGAATCGTGGTTGCGGAGAGAGAACCTGGGTTGAATTCCGCACGTTGTATGACTGCTGGGGCTGCGCAGTAGACTGGGTTAGCATAGCTCCGTGGCTATAGCTTCTCTCATGCCCCAATCCTGATGAGGATCGCTGAGCAGCTGATATGGAGGGTGGAACAAAATTGGCCGGGCTGCTCTGTCCCATAGTAGACGGCGTGTCAAAGGTACCCGCTCGTCCTATAGAGCCAGATGGCATCTGAGTGTGCAAGGGAGGTAGGTTTTGAACTTGAGATTGCTGTTGAGATTGTGGCCTTGCTTGTTGCTGATGCATTTGTGTCATTTGATTTAGAGACATGTTATGTTGTGGGTTGAGAACCTAGGTAATGTCAGTATAAGTAGGTATAAGTAGGTATAAGTAGGTATAAGTAAACGGTATTTTGTAGACGTACTGGATTGCGCTCATATTTAGGTTCAGAAGTTTTTGGGGACAACTTGGTATAATAACTGGTGATGTAGTCTTCGAGGTCCTTTTTATTATCTATACTATGAATGACTTCCTTGAGGCTGCGTGAATATTGGCCAGGTAAAGTGACACTCTTCAATGGACTGATGACTAGTCCATTGCTAAGGAGTAATTTCTCGTTGAAGGATGCTATTTATGTATTAGTTGCCGCCATGGGGGTGCAACAAAACATCTTCGTTCACTCACCAAACTTTTGCATCTGTAACGTGATGCCAGAATCACATTCTCTTATTAAATCTTGCAAGGCTTTGATAGCTTCCGGACGAGTTGTCGATTCCATTGTGGCTTTTTCCGATTGGTATGTTTGCACCTTGGCCATATAATCTGTATCTGCGGCTTGAGTCTTGCGTAGGAGATCCTCTTCTTGCTGTGCGGCGGACTTCGGTCCTTTGATGCCGAAAACTCTGGGCCCTTGTCTGGCCTCACCAGTCCTGACCCGGTCATATTCTTCTGCCAAAGAATCATATTTAGTCTTGGACTTGCGCATTGCTGTTTCAATGTCAACCAGTCGCTGTTCGGCAGCCAGGCCACTCTGCTTCCAACCTTTCCGGTGTTTCTCGGCTACAGCCGCCACCTCGAGAAGGTCTTCATGCATCTGATGTAATGAAAAAGCAAATTGTGTGCTATTCTCGGCCATACGATCGTGAATCATGAGCATCTCTTCGTATGACTTCGCAAAAGTTCCTTGTCGGTGGTCGGCGTGGTGGATGTTGTCCTGGGTTGTTTTACAGAGCTTCTTCATGCCCCGCGCATGTTCTTCTTCTAGCACGGATCGTTTCTTTAGGAATAGGGCGAACTCCTTCAAGTATCCCAGGTTAGCGACATCGCTGTTAGCGAGAGCGGAGTTTCCTTCGTGGCTCACCTTTGCCGAGGCAATGCTTTGCTTTAAGCGATTCAGCATAGTAGACACACCAATCTGTGACTGTCAGTTATAACCAAAACTTGTATAAGAAACAGTGCAACCGGAAACCGTACATCAGAGGTTAAGACGTCTTGGACTCGTTGGCACATGTCGGACTGTGTGCCATCGGGAACAGTACTCGTGTTTGTAGTGGTGGTAGCTCCATTTCCTGGCCCGTCAACAGGACCGACGGCACCGTTCTCGGACGTAGGGCTAGGGAGCTTGCCGGGCGACATGCTGGTCGGTTGTTCGTGGTCTGGCTGCGAAGTCGACGGCCTATCGAGGGATGTCCGGCTAAAGTCTGCCATGATCGGGAGAGACGATGGTGGGTGGATCGGGCTGGATATTTACACGGGATTCGGTTGACGAGACGAGGAGCAGCTAGTGGTCGGCAAGCTCCGGGGAGAGCAATGTGGCACGAATATCTGGTTCGCGTGGAGGTTGTAGGTCAGATCGCAAAGCTATGAAACGTGTAAGTGCTTCGGGCGTTCATGCAGACCGGATATTAAGCTTGATCAGGGCCTATTTTTTGTTGAAACGCAGTCGCAATTTTGCGCAGTTCCGTCAACCCAATGTAGACCTAATAATAGCCCTGTCCCTTTCTGTATCAGTAGGTTGTGGTGCAAGACGTTATGCGCCGGTGAATTGAAAAGCTGGAGGGCCAGCTGTAGCTGCAACGAGTCGACGATTGTCGTCAGTCAATTAATCAGTCTTTCAGTCAAAACGACAACGAAGCAACCAAAGCAGTGAGGCAGCAAACATGAACAGACCAATTATTTACGGGCACGGACTTTTGGAGTCGGCTACGTAATACGAAGAAGTACAGCGGTACGTAAGGTACCGTAGGTACTGTAAGCACTTTTACATAGGTACATAATAGATACACACGTGCAGTACAACGGGCCGTTGGGTCTGGTCGGTGCGTGGTCCCCCACTATACACTGTAGTTCCTCTAGGTACCTAGTAGTGATCCCCTACCTTTATAGATACTGATAAAGATGTGACAACTTACTAGGTGTTATTGCTTTTGTCCTCACTGTCATTGCCCAGCTCTCACTCTCTTTTCTCGTGAAAATATAATATTGCTACTCAGTCCCTCGTATCGTAGCCGTACTACACACTTCTATACACTACAAGCTTCAGACGTTGGATTATTGAATGCTGTTGTCAACCCCATCGCATGCAATATCATATCATCGTTTCCCCGCAAACCCTTGTCCCTCGTCCTAACATACCTAGCTCCTTCACATTAAATAGGGGTCAACTGTCATTGATCGCATCACCACTAGACTAGGCGATCCAGTTGCTCCGCATTCCTACATCCCCACATATACCAGAAAGCAGCTCCCAGCCCAGTAGCTCGTAGAAAAAATCCGAACCATCAGACCACATGAAACACTTCCATCACCACTTTATCAACACCCATGAGGGGTCCTTCAGCTACTCTCACATGTAGACAATTACAGCTCACTAAGGCTATGCTAAGAAAGCGAAGGCGGAGCCATCTAGAAGTAGCCAGTTGTAGATTCAATCTCAGCTGACACAACCAGTACCAGGCTGCCCTGCCACTCCCTCAGCCGGCACTACTATCCTGATCAACGAGGAGGATTTCGGAAGGCCGCGACAGATAACACCCCCCTATCTCCCCTCAAGCGTCAAGCGTCAAACGTCAAGCAGCGTGCCATTAGTATCATATGTAATCCTCCTATTGCTTGACGACACATGTGTGATATAGTAACGTTGGTGTGTCTTCATTCCAATATTACCTTTCCTCGGCCGAGATCAATACTGAGCTGGCGCTCCTCGACCATCCAAATTTCCCTACAACTCACGCACTCTAGTAAGGTATACACAGGGACCATAGTCACTCGGGTATCCGGTTGACAAACACATGCCGCTCAAGTTGCATAGTGCTGTCTCGTGTGTAAAGGTTACTAATACCAGGGGCAAGCGACTCGCAAAAACATAGCAGCAGTGTATTATTTTGGTCTATAGACTTATGCATAGTTCTTATGAATGAAGCAATACTTTAACATACTCTCACAGTTCAGGTCCCAGGCCCTTTCAAAAGCCGCAGGCTATATGACACTATATTTATTACTGCAACCTTGTTTTTCCATAGGATTTCATGCCGGAGACTTTGGGCAACTGGACTACGACTTATGAGCGCAAGCGGGCGTTCCACGGCTTGAGCTCAAAAGGGTTGCTAGTTAACGGCATCGTGACGAAGGCCCGTTATCATTACGGATTTCATCAGGTGCCAACTTTGACGGTGCGCAATTCTCAATCGTAATAAGTCGGGCTCATTACTTCGGTAAGACAACCGACGTGTTAGTATATTATGATTGTTCTCTTAGTTTATCGGCCAGCTCACTTCAAGATTTGAAGACGGCAGCCGTAGAATTAGTGGTGTAAACAACTTTAGCTATAATGAACGGAAAGGCTTTTCTTCTCCTTTTCATTCCCCTAGTATGTTTTTCGGCTCGCCTAGTAATACATAGGCTCATCTTTCACAGAGTAATAGATAATTACAGGGTGTAACAGCATGTGAGTATAAAATTAAGCTACTGCCTAGTAGTTTAGCCAATAGGTATTTCTAAATTCGCTAATAAACGACTTGTTCGGAGAGAAAAACAATGTCAGTTATCAAAGAAGTTACCAGAGATGTTATCAAAGAGAGGGAAAAGAGAAATTATTCACCAATTTATCGAAAATTGAAAAATATAAACTTCTTACAGGAGTAAGAAGTTGATGTTACACTCCGGTACGGGGAATCGAACCCCGAGCCCCGCGGTTTTTTCTCTTTGCAAGATGAAAACGCGATATGTTAGCCGTTACACTATACCGGATAAGCTGTTGCTACTATGGAATTACGGATGCATTTATTTTGTTATCAAATTTACTTTAGCTTTGCATTAAAATTTTCACCTGAACCAATCATCATGAATGGGACCCACCCAGTACAGTACGGTGAGGTAGAGTCAGCTAAGGTACCTATAAGAGGCTCCTAAAGCTAGCCTGGTTAGTCGTGACTTCGCCAGGTCTGCCTTTGTTTATTTTAGGGGTGAGGAAACGATGTTACATCTATTTACTCCTTTTGACATAGAATTATTTGCCTGATTTGCGCGATGTAATAGGGGACCTGAAACAGCCTCATTTTTATATCGGATAATACAATGTGGCAGCTTGATGGAGGTCGCATGCGGTTTTCTCCCACGAGCAGTCCTGCCACAAATTATCATCTGAATAAACGTCACAGTGGAAATCGTCGTCTTTCCCGAAGATCAACCGACTAAAGCTTATGGCCCGTGCACAGCTACCTGGCGCTCTCATATACTGTTAATGACTTCAAACCATTTGGGTCACGGCAGGCAGGCTGACTATTGTTGCCAACCCTGGCTGTTGTTTATTGATAGATTCTCTATAATTTAAGTCCGATAGGCGGTGTAAAGAAAGATGGACTTATGGTGAAAGCCAGAAGTGCTAACCGTTCTTCTCCTCCTTACAACTGATGTGGTATTCCAGGATATCTACTCGCTCTGCGCAAGGCGTCCGTCGTGACAGCTAATAAATCCCAAGAGAGCAGATCTTGCTTCCATTATGCTAAAATTAGCCGGCAAAGCGCTAGAAAGGGTAGGGTTTCGTTGCTCAAGGGAATACTATGGCAGAGGGACCTTCCCTTACTTACAGTAATTACAGGAAATCGAGAGTGCTAATGAGCCGGTGACTCAGAAGATTGCTCTTGTGTTAAATATAGTTTGCTCAACTCTCTAAGAGTCGTACTATCTCCATATTCTAACTGTTTAGGATGTAGAAGCATCTATTCTCTAATGATCGCCTCATGGTCAGCCTTTCGCCTACTACTTGCTCTGATTCATCCATCAAACACCGAGTATCCTCCCTCAGAAGTTTTGTATCTCATGTACCGATTCTAATCACCCTTGTTTGCTACCTCATAGAGGCTGCGGGTATTAAAGAACTTTGCACAACATACATAGCACCATAATCATACATATAATGGAAATCGTTTAGTTGCAACGCTTCTTGTCTGCAAAAGCATATGGCAAAAGCACATTCAGTCGTAGAAAAATAAGGTCAATAAAGGCTGAACGCAACCCGTAAATCCCTACTATTTATTATATTACACATCAACAATGGTCCTTTTCTGAGCCTGCTGTAACCGCTCGCCCTATCTCGTACATAACTTAATCGGTGAACTAATGGGTTGCTTCTGATTCATAGTGTACCGATATTCTACATAGCTGGAAGGCTTCGTGTTATGTTTTAAAGGTAGGCTCATCTCAATACAGCTTTACCGAGCGATGGAATAGAGTTTACTGAGTTTTCAAAGGTATCCCATTCTCCCAATTCCAAGAAGTAACTGTGAGATTAGATCACATGCTTTTTTTGTCTGTGTATCGCGTTTAATCTCATGAGAGCATTTTGCGATGCAGTCGTTTAAGCCTCCTAGGGACATGAGGTGTGGTCAGGCTACATGATATTTATATATATCTACCATTTCGAATCTTAGGGTTAGCAGTGTAGATAACTCGCGTCTGCTCCTTTTAAAACGTCGTGCCTTATTTTTCATAATCCGAGTATATCTGGCACTTGACTCTTACTGCTTATGGCCGTACTATATTGCCACAGGTGTGCATGTACTCGCCGTTGGCGTGGTTGCGTCGGGCGGTGTCGCTATGTGCGGGCGATGGCTACTTTTAAAGGCGATCCGCAGTATTAGACTAGAGAGCAAAGTAATGGATGACTAGCTACAAAAGAGTGGCCATGAGTCATAAAGTCTTACCCGAGTTCATCACATGCCGAGTGCGGGTCCATTTGAACTGAGTTGACAGTATACTTGCTCCTATGACAACAACTTGTTATTAATACTATCTAGTACTATCTAGCACTATTTTTACATAATTTCTAACCCGTCATTGGGCTTATATGCTTACTTAGCTCTATTAAATAAGAGAAAATCTATGTCGCATTGCTTACCAAACCATTCCGCCCAAGTTCAGCATAAATCCGGCAACAGTTAATAAATTGCGCACTGTTATCACACCTGATATATATTATACAGCCTCATAAGTAGGCTAGATATTAACTAGAAAGATATTATTCAGGAGAATATGCATAGTACTGCTACTGATGCAGGAAGCCTGCATAAGATTGTAGGGATTAGTCTAATGCTTATCAAAATTTACGAATTCCGGTACTGAGGGGCAAGGTAGGATGACACAACAACGAAGTCACCTCGACCAGTACGAAATTGCAACATTCAAAATTTGAGCAAATATGTCCGAACAATAGTAGCAGCCTTCATCGCACCGGTCCAGAAAAATATCTATGAATAACTTCGATTTGAAAGTTCTATTTGATAAAGCAATTACTGGACGGCAGGGGGGCTTCAAAGATTACGTCGCGGCTCTTAAAGGTGTCAACCCAGATGATCATGTCCTGCAAGTAACACCATTGGTAACCCTCAATATCGATGCATATGATTATAAGTATATCGTGCAACTTTACCATGTTGAGCCAGACCATGGAAACTCATGGGAACCCTCGGACTAGGGCCGTTCTATCTTCATAAGTTTGGAACTACAAAGGGGCAAATTTTGTTTACCTACAATGCACTAGAAACAGAGAAAAGACAATTTCGGCTGGTTAAGTTGGCGCCAGCATGCGAACATGGTAACGTTCACCAATTACAAATGGAAACCTTCAATTTAGAGGATGCTCCTCCGTTCGTAGCACTCTCCTATGTCTAGGGTGCTCCTGAAAGGCTTATGCAAGTCAACTGTGACAGAGCCGCTATTGACGTTACTCAGAATCTATTTGAAGCTCTGGATAAATTCTTTCGAAGATACCCTATATTATGGTTATGGGTGGACGGTCTTTGTATTAACCAATGGGATCTCACAGAGCGGGCCGAGCAAGTCCAGATTATGAGTGATATATATAGGAAGGCGGCGATGGTTGTTGCGCACCCAGGCCATTACAAGTATGCGCTACGCGCGGACCAGGCGGAACTCGAGGAAACACCAGCTTTTGGGTGTCCTGGATTGCAAGCAGAGCTAGACATGCTTTTGGGACACACGGCGATCGATCCCTCAATGCGGGCAACACTTACAAATGAGGACCTGGCCTCGAAGGTACAATCAATCTTGCGCAAGGAATTATCGGAGCCGAGACCGGAAGGCGAAGATCCACAGGAGGCATCAAGCATAATGAATTACTTCACCCATCTCTGGAGGGAGAACCCGGATATGTCTGACTCAGACTGGGCACACCATAATATCCCTGATCTCTCGAGTGGAGGTGGCGAGACCTGGAAAAAAAGTTCTAACTTTTTGGACTGAGAGCTGGTACTCGAGAACTTGGATCGTCCAGGAGGTTGTTCTCGCTAAGAAGGTAGTCGTACTCCAGGGGGACGCTGCTATTGACCTCGAACAGGTCTTGGAGTTTTGGTCATTGGCCAAGGAATGCGCACTACCCAAGATCCTGCGGATTGGACAAGTTGCAGACGTTTTCAGAAAGGCAATGCATCTCATTCCCGACTTCAAATACTTCTGCACCAACAAAAGGGGGGCAGGCAAAGCCGAGCAGTATGCTGGTTCCACGCCTGACACAATGACAGATCACACCAAGCCAAAGAAAGACTTGGCGGTCAAAGCACCTTATTTACTTGAGCTTCTGCACTCGTTGAGAACCAACGTCTCTAGCGATCCTCGAGACAAGATATACGCTCTTCTTGGTTTGGCCGACGACGAAATAGCACGCTCAATCATTCCAGATTATTTTCCCGAGAACACTACTAGTCGCCTTTTTATCGATGTCGCATGTCGGTTCATCAGCGCTAGGCATGGAACTGAGCTCCTTAGCTACGCTGGCCTTGATCAACAAATCTAAGGTCTGCCATCTTGAGTCCCCGATTGGACGCTACACTCGCGATCAGAGCTCGATGCCCGTTTATACCAATGCACTGGCAGTCGGACCTCGCCGAAGCTATTAATCTCACACCTGGGTGAAACACCTCGTCTAACTGTCCGTGGAGTAATCCTGGGTAATATTGATTTCGTTAGTATAGGTTGGCGGTACTATTCACACGACGAGGGCTTGCACTCACTAATAAATTTGGCAAATAATCCCAAGGCGCAGTCACCTGAACTGAATGACGAAGACACTCGAAACGTGATTATCACCATCGCAACGGATCTCAAGAAGAGGTTCAACCCAAAGAGATATTCCAAGGAAGGGTAGGAAAGCGCGCTATCGAGAGCACTGACAGCTGATTGTTATGGGCAGAGAGGAAGGACCAGAATCTCAGAAGAAATAAAAAGCCAGAGATCCTTGGGTGATGACATTGATGAAGAAACACAAGACCCAGAGCAGACAGCCGCTCAATTCCGCGACTCATACCAAGCTTACCGCCGGTTCTACGCTCGCGGACCTACAGAGCCGGATGATCTGCAAAAGTATCGAACCCACCAAACAGGTCGATGGATCTGGCTGATGGACTTCGACGAAGAGGAAGAGGTGAATTTACAAAAGCGCCTAACTCCGGTTGCCTTTGCCTTGCAAGCAGCCCAACGAGGTCGCCGGGTCGCAATTCTTGATGATTCCAACCTAAGCAGCGCTGAGAGCGATTCAGATAGCGGCAGCGGCAGCAGCGAGAACAAAGTCAAAGAGGGAGAAACAGACGACGGCGGGTTCATAGCTACCGTCCCGTGGAATACGGAACACGGCGACGTAATAGTTCTCCTGGAAGGCTTCGGAACCCCCTTCGTTCTTCGGCGCTATAAGCTAGACCTTGAAGATGACCTGGAAGGGGGGTTTCGCTTAGTGG